TAAGAAGGGCGGGGAGGGGTGTGGATCAGCGAGCACAGATGTGGGGGGTGGATGCTGGGAGTGGGGAGGAGATAAAAAGAGACACTGTGGAAGGTAAGAGGGAGGTAAGTGAGCTGGGTGGGGAGAGTTTGCACGCTACCTGTCCTGGCTGCCTGCTGGGAGCGTAAGAGAGTGGTCACCAGAGAGCTGAGGTGTTAGTGCTGGTGGAGGAGTGCAGTGCAGCATGAAGGAACGAGGGCTGCAGCAAAACTGGGGTGAGGTGGCAGCTTTAATCAGCTTTTCAGACTTCCCTTGTGCTCTGCAAGGCTGAAAACTGCTGCACTGTTGCAAGTGCTGGGCAAAGGGCTGCACTCTTCTGCTAGGAGTCAGCAGATGAGTTAGCTACCCTATTCCTGGGTACAAAACAAGCCAATATGGGGCAAGTTAAACTGGCTATTGCAGTGTCACACTGCACATGTGTTTGGCCATTCTGATCCCACAGATAAATGCCCTGTCTGTAAATATGTCATTCAAAAAAGCTTCCATTAAAAAAAAAAAAAAAACAACCACCCAAAACCTGAAGACTTTTCAAAGCACAAGCAGTGCTACTACACTGAAAAACATTTAGCAAGTGCAAGCATACTCTTCAAAAACGCAGTGCATTTTTGAATCATTAGCTAATTCTCCGCCCACACGTAGGACTCTCCCTGCATTGCAAGCAGGGTATGCGGTGGTCTGGCAACATGGTGAAGTGCTGGGAAGGGAGATCACCACATGTACTGCACCTGCTTTGGGCTTGTCCTAGTGTGGTGGGGTCAGCACACTCACCAACTCGTCTCTGTTGGCAAAACACGCTCCCTCCAGCCTGCCCTGGCCATGGGCACGGGGCTGCTCTCCTCCAGCATATGCTGTAGGAGCGGGACAGGAAAGCAGCAGCCTTGGTGCTGGCGGGGTGACTCTGATCCCTGCAGCACATTTCCAAACCTCTGTGTGAAGCCAGAGGGGTAACGTTTGCACCATTCCCAGGCTGCAACATTTCAGCTGGCCAAAGAAGTTAGGCATTAGCTGTCCGTCAGGCATGACCCTACTTAGAGAAGGGCGTGTTGGAGAACATCAGAAAAACACTATTCAGCAGCAAAATGCCCTTCAGGCATTTATCATTTCTGATTTCAATAGCTGAATTTCACTTAGAAAAGTTCCTTACTGCTCAAGCTGTCAGCTCAGCCCAAGCAGCATTTCTCAGGCTGGCTCTGCAGGGTGTACCTGAAATATTTTCTCTCAAATAAACAGGACACACGCTGTGCCACAGGAGTCAGGAGTGTAGTGCAGCAGGGACCGGAGCGCAAAACGATCACCACTCCGTGCATCATAGATTAGGCTGGGAAACCAGCTATCAGTTGCTCATGCATAACATGCACAGTAAAGTTGTTTTCATGCTATTATTTTCATGTTACTATTTCAAGCAGAGCCTGACTCATCACTTTTTTATTCCAGCTTTAACTTAGTGTAAATGTTTTCATGACAACAACCACACCAACGTGTAACTGATATAATTGAGTCATGGACCGCACCATCAGCAACTTGTTTAAAATGACGAAAATCCAGATTATTGGGTAATGTACATAGTTTACTGACTGAACGAAAACATCCAAAGAAGAATAAAGTAGACCAATAAGTAGACACTAAAGACCTTGTTCTAATTCTCCTCAAGAATGCTAAATAAAATTTCTCTCCATAATTCATTAAACTATTCATAATCAGTAAAATAATACAACCTGGAACTATTTCATTTACAGGTATGAAACAAGCAGTTCCTAAAGGTTAGCATTACAGTTTGATACTGCTGGATTATTCAGCACATAAGGTTGCCTTTTATAAAAAGCCTAGTGTATAAATGCATATACATATATTTATATATATACATTACATCACTCCTGTGCAATTTTCCTTAATCCCCACAAAATAACTAATATAGAATCTTTCATTTTAAAGATATTTTTGCACCTACATAAGAACTTGGCCCAACAATAAAAGTAAAGGGCAAAGAACGAGAAGATCAGTCTTTCAATTTTTTTTTTTTTTTCTAGAAGATCAGTCTTTCAATATTTTTTTTTTTCAATACAACATGCATTAAAAATATTCTGGTTGCAATTTTGCATTTATGATGAGGCCGGTATCTGGCTCACACCTGAGCATGAGCACACTGTATAACCAAGAATCCCAGTCCTAGCACTCACTAGCTAGCCTCAACTGCCGTCAGAGATTATTCACTGCCTGCATTTGTCAGCCCATTCCAAATAACATTCCTGGGTCTACCCCGTCTCAGACACAGGGGAGCTGAGAGACTCTCACTGACTTGAGTGTTTTAGGTAATCAAAAGAAGCTACCACTAATTTCTAAGGAGAGTTTTCTTGTTTTTTCACCCTAAACTCTGTTTTGCAGTGTATTGCAAACCCCATACGATTACTCCCTGAGGCAGTAGATTCACAACCTGGAGGTTGAAAGATGGGTTGTTGTTGTCACCGTTATCACTGTTATTGTGCCACTGTATTCTGACGCTAGGAAACAGTGTCCATATGTCAGTGAATGGAAGTAAGCTTAGTTATTCTCAGTTTTATAGTGCTAGTAGCATGGAATAGCATAGCCTTTTGCAGCAGTTTGTGTGTTTTTTCCCTAACAAATCCTGAGTGAATGAAAAAGGTAAGTGCTAAGGGGCACCTTCTTTCTGCAGGAACAGTCGGCCCACAGGACTGCTGGGTGGGACCAGCTCCATCGGCCTCTTGCTTTCAGAGTTCTTCACCCAAATGTCCGCTCCAAAGTCAATCAGCAAAGTCACCAGCTCCGCACTGCAATTCCTGGCAGCCGCGTGCAGAGGGGAGTCCAGGCCCTTGCCGCTGTTCACATTTGCTCCTGAACACCAAGAAATGACAAAGAGTAATGACTATACAGTACCCTATTTCCATTTCCTGCACTAGCTGCTATTTCTCTGAATAATCTGTAAATGCTGTAGCATCCACCCAGAGGTAGATTTCCTTATGCTGGGGCTTGGTGCTACAATTTGCACATGCACAACTCACACTGGTTGAGGAGGAGTGGGGTTGCGACCAAGAGAATGATCCCAGAGGAACAGTGCATGAGGAAGTCCTTCAGCTCAGCCCAGCCCATGGATCTCTTGAAGCAGGACAAAGATGTAGTTCCACCTACGGCCCACCTTTGCTCCCTGTCCCAGTGCCCCATTCCCTCAAAATACACACAGGGTATCAACCCACACTCTACCAGAGGCTTAAGCTGGTGGATTTTCCAAATGCCGAAGTATCTGTTGGGGAAAAAATATGAGAATGGAAAGGTTCTGGAGGCCCGTGGTAGAGGCGGATATAAGTAAGCACCCCTGATGAATGTCCCCCATCTGTTACTCTGGGTTAATTAATTCCTAAAACACCATAAGAAGGGTGAGCTGCAGAACTTATTCAAAATTATGTATAATGTTTTTATAATACACATTCTCATATGTAGACGGCAACAAAAAACAAAATGGAAGAAAACAGAAAATAATAGCCAGGTATTTAATATTTAGATTAACTTGTATTTGACTTTTTCCAAAAAAAGATCACTGTGCTAAATAGTGACCTACATAAATGGTGATCTGCATGATGTTTGCTTGGTTTTCCCAAAGTAGTTCTATTAGTGCATTGTTTTTGTACTAGTTATGTGCCTACTTTAAGTTATATGGCATCTTTAGTTAGAAGAGTTGCACTACTGTAGATAACAAAAGATGGTCTTATATAATTATCCAAGTGCTTAGACTTATAGCTAGGTTTGTTTGATGCAAAGTACATAGTGCTGAATGATTTTCTGTGTTGGAAACGTTCCAAACATCTTATGAACTCAGTGGGAATTAAAACATGTTTGCAGAAATACTATGTAAAAAAGATTGAGTCAATTGTTTTGGGTAAAAGGGAGGAAAAGAAAAAAAAAAAGGAAATTTTTCCCTGCCTTCTTCAAATAACTGCAGCATCACACACACAGACATTGTAAAGGATGATTTTTGTTCCAGGTGCCACCGGCTGTGTGAAATCCAGGATCACCCATCATTATGTTGGGAGATATAAAGCTGAGTTGCTGGGTCAAGAAGACCCTTGTTCCTCTGCTACCCCATTTAACGCAGGGGTGCCATTAAGAGACAACCATCTCCAGGTCCCAGAGCAGGAGCTCCTTTAAATCTTTGATGCAAAAAGAATCCAAAAATAGATGTTGCAGGAAACAAAAGTACACAATCCTTTATTTTTCTTTTTACCTGACTCAAGCAGCTTCTTGGCACAGTTCACTTGCTGGTTCTCACAAGCTACATAAAGTGGAGTACCTAGATGCTTGATGTTGTGATCTATATTTACCCCATGGGATGAGAGGAATTCGACACATTGCACATGACCTTAAAAAGGATAAAGGGAGAGTCAACTCACAGAGATCAGGCATTTTTTCAGCAAATTCTCTATTGCAGCAGTGTAATCTGGCAAAGAGTCAATGTTTTGTCGAGAGACGGTAGTGTAATACTTTCATCCACTGCAGTGTTTCCAACCTGGAAAACAGGACCTGCAAAGCCACGGTTAGCAAAACAGGCTAAAGCCTTCTCATTTTATCTGATTAATTCCAAATGGCTACCGAAGATGAGATGAATCACTCCGTGTTTCTCCCCGCTATTCTCGAAGATAGCCAGATGACTCCCTCGGATGTCCACACTGAATGCAGCAGCTGACTTGGACGATGCATCCCCTTCCAGGTGCCACCACAACAACTCAGAGACCCTGTGAGCAGAGCTGAGCTGCCCTTGGTGAGCACCAGGGGTGGGAGGAACCACACCACTCGTGGTGAGACCAACTAGGGAGGTAATTCACATGACCCAAATCAAGAAAATTATCTTCTTTATCTCTCTCTTCCACTTTAACATGCTGCTAGTAACACGGAAAGGAGTGCTGATGCCTGTGGGGTTACCTCTTTTAGCAGCTTCATGGATGGGGGATGCCAAGTCACAGGGCGGATGTAGGCTGGCTCCGTGCTGCAGCAATAAATTCAAGCAAGCCACACTGCCACTGACACAAGCGCTGAACAATGGAGTGTGCCAGTCAACAGTAACTCCATTCACCTGGGGGAAAAATTACACAATCAGGCTTTTCTTTTGTCTTCTCAGTATTTCAAAATTGATTAAAATTATCCAGTTTCTTAACAGAAAATAGTGGTTTTGATACTTTTTACTTAATTCCTTGCAAAAGCTGCCTACTGCTTCTGAAGATTACAACTTTTTATTAAAAAGGCCATTAAAAAAATCTTTTTTAAAATTGTCCCCAAGTCTCTCCTCCTGCAAAAGAATGTTTAACCAGTGCTACTCCAGGGCCTCTTGGTTACCAAGTTACCAGATTCCCAAGTTAAATGTGAGCCCGTTTCTCGGTTATCTCAGCTGAAACACACCTGCCCATAGCCCCTTCCTGAAACAGTCCATTTTTAGCTGAAAGTGTGCAGCCTTCTCCTTTTTTTAGAAAATTTTAAACTGAAAGCTTATATATGTATAACGAGTTAATTTTCTTATTCACTATAATTTTGACATTAGCTTGAAGAGTAGAGGCCATGAGACACACCCATTTCACGATTTTACCTGCATGTTGTTTCCATTTTTTTCCCATTTTGTCATCAGTTGATCCTAACAGTCCTACACCTCTACTTAAGACTCACAATTGACACAATGAGATTAGTGTGTGCAGAAAATAAGATACACTCTTAACTATTGCAGGATTATAAACCCTTTGCAAAAGGAACTTCCCCTTATTCTTTCAGCAAATGATGAGAACATTGCACCTTCATCTAAAAAGAACAACAATAACTGTTGATTGTATCTGTGCTTTTTGGGTTGCTTCATTAAGTGCATTTTATAACAGGTGTACCTTAAGCAGAGCTAAGTACAGAATGTAAATCACAGTGATATGCTGATGTGAAATAGTACATCACCTGGCATTAAAATGTGACAATACAACATACTAACACTAGAGACAATGGTCTGTCCATCATGTACTCACCTGAGCACCATGTTTTAATAGGACACTGACACAAGCAGCATGACCCCCTAGGCACGCTTCATGGAGAGGAGATACCTGGTCTGCTGTAACAAGATTAACATCACTCCCCTGATGAAATAATGGAAAATATCATTACAACCAACTACCAAAACCCACACACAAACAAAAAAACCCCACCTCTTTCTATCTTTAAAGCTTTATGTAATCAGACCTTCCTCAGCTGCCTGGAGTTACTCATCTCGATAGGTAAGCAGAGAAAGAGGCTGTGATGTGTTTGCTGTAGTGGATACTTGCACAGCATAGCAGGGATCACACCTTCTACACACTGCTAATCGGCACAGAAAGCTGTAGGCAGTCGACTGTCCAGAGGGACAATACAGACACCCTTTTAGGAACTCAGCGTGATTTTATTTCTACTACAGCATGACCAGCAAAATTTGAAATTAAAAAGAAAAAAGATAAAAAATTGCTGCTAGAGTTCTTGGCAGGGTCGTGACTGCCACCTTTACATCACTGCTCAAGCCTTCTGACCTCCTGCTCACTGAGTCTGCAATTGTTTGACTGGATCAAATCCTGAACTGCTTTTGAGGTGTTTTCTGCTGTTTGCAGCAAGGCACACTCTGAAGGAAAGCCAGCCCCCGCATCAGAAACCATTGTTTTGATTCTACAGGATCTTTTGTGTCTAATAATCTTGGTGCTCTAGAAGGTTAAGCTGGAAGAGTCTTCAATACCCTTTCCCTTTCCATCAACTCATCCACAGGCTAAATCCAAGAATTTCAAAGAAACCGAGCAGTGGGGTTCAGAAGTTGCTTCTTCCTAACCCTGCCCTTCTGCAGTAGGACAGTAGGAGCAGGGGCCCTGGGTACCCTCAGCCACTTCAGAAACAGATGTGTGGGTGGATGAATTGAAGCCTCAACTGGAGCCTTGCTTGGGTCCAGAGCTGCCCCCCAGCTGGGGCACCAAGTGCTGCTCACAGGCCCCGAAGCTGCAGAAGGAACTCCCCAGCCATCTGGAGATCCCAGCCACCATTTTCCCATTACCAGCACCAGAATTAAGTATGACCCAGGATATTTCTACACGTGTTCAGCTTAGTGTACAGAGCTTGCACTAGACAAGCACCTGCTTGTAGAAAACAAACATCTGTTACACCTGAATTTCACTGCATTCTGACCAACATGATTTTCTCACCCTAGAGGTTTCACAGTAAAGCACAGACTGCATTCATCCACTGAACAAACTCAGCGGCGACCATATCAACCCAGTGGAGGAGTACCTGTTTGATGAGCTTCTTCAGACTAAGCAGACGCCCGTGGATAGAGGCATCGTGTAAAGGAGACCAGTCTGAAACAAAGTCTGTATAGAGAGGAAGACAGGATAAAGGCTAACAACTCCATTGACTGTTTCATCAGTGTACTTTATTTCAACTGTGTGACCCCAGCAAACATTTCTCCTACTTTATTACTTGAACTGCCAAACTTTCCTTGGAGCAGCTGCCAGGAGGGAGTGAGACAAGAGGACAGCTTCTCTCTGTGTGTATTTTTAACTCATCCCGTGTTGGCGCTGAGCAGCTGTGTTCCCCTTCAGAAGACAAGAGAAGAATTTGCAGAACACCACCTTGCTCTGACTGAGCTTGCCTTTTGCTTTGAATTATTTCCAGTGCCTTTATTTTCACAAGCTCATTACACTTTACCAATTAGCTCAATAGGACTATGTTTTGAAGAGGGTATGGCTGCTCAGTCATTTACCCCTGCTCAGAGCTGGGCTAGAGTCAACACCTAACGTGAAAAGGTACCAAAGTACAAGGAGATAAATTGTGTTACCTGTTGATTTTGCCTTTCAGTTTTCAATGTTTGGTGTTAGCCTGTGCAGCAGCGCTTTTTAAGTAATAGCTATATTCTCTGTGCTGTTGAAACCATGAAGTGAGGTACAGCACATATATACCATGCAACTATTAACAAGAGAGGATCTTCAGTATTACAGATTTTATGGCTCAGAGTCAGCTCACAACAGTAACCCCTCTGGGAGACATTTCCTTCAGCATTCATTGCCTCAAAACCCAGTGTCTGGTCTATGTCAATGGCCCAGGTTCCCCCTGGGAAGGAAGAGAAGCATTTCCAGAGAGCATTTCACCCAGCTTCTTTTGGAAACATGTTGTGCCTCTCTTCCATTAACTACAGAGAAAACCCCAACGACCGACTTGGACAAGTTGCTGAGGTTTTCAGGGACTATACTAGATCACTGTGGCATAATTACTGGAGGTGACTTGGAAATTAAACTCATATTTAAAATACAGCATTGTTCACACATTAAGGAAAGATACAGAACAGAGCACAATGGGTATGTGAGGAATCCACTCCACAGAAGTTCCCCAGGCAACCTTGGGTGTTAGCAATATCAGGGGAGCTTGATGTGCTGACTCTAAGAGAAAATGGCACAGAGGGTGGAGCAGAGTGAAATCACTGTGGCCAGGCTCTGTGATACCACCACCGGGATGGGAACTTGATGGTACCATGGAATTGATAAGCTGCACAGTTGCTACCCTGAGCCAACACTCTGTCATTTTTTGACAAAATACCATCCTTTGGGTGAAATTTGCTGATTGTAATCTCATTATAATACAAAAAACACGCCTCCACCCAGAAAGCTACCCAACTTCAAGGTGCAACCACCCCTCACTGAGTTTGTGCCCTGAATTTCTTTAGTCTATACCTTTAAAAGTGAAGGAAGAGAATTTTACACCAATCATAATAAAGGTGTGTATGACTAGAGCAACTCAAGCTCCACTTGAGGGTAAAATTTAATATAAAAATGGCCTATGAAAGAAGGATGTTAGGGTAGATACCATCAATGACAAGTCATGGACCATCTTAGACTTCTGGGATCAGTCGATGGGCTGAGCTTCTCTTCCCCCCTCCCCGTAGGGATGCCTTTGGGTAAGACTTAAACACTTGGTTACACTGAGTGCTCACCAGGAAATTTAGAATTGTCTATAGAGCTGCTTTTACAACTTGGTATGTTTTATAGCCAGGCTGTGTTATTCTTGTTTAAACTCGCACATGCTTTGCAGACAGTGAATTTATCACCGGCAATCCAAAGAACTTGTGTATCTGTCGCTGCTCCAATAAACTGCACTATCATTAATCCAGTCGTGTGAGCTCTTGTGAACGCAACCACTCCTATGTGTGGCCATGATAGTTTGTCAAGTGCCGCTAGACTGACGGTGCAGGGACTCCATAATCATGATAGTTCAATTATCTGTCTAGCTGTGTGAGCTGTTAAGTGTCACTAGACTGATATTGGATGCGATCAGACTCCTAGAGCCAAATTGAGCATCACTCAGAATCTAAGCCCAGCCACCCCCAGGCCCTCTCATATCTGAGGACAAGCTGGAAAGCAAGCGGGTTTATTTTCTGCTGAATTCCTTTGCCCTTTAATGTGACAATCACATGTGAACAGGATACTTAACAGTGAGAAGTCTGCCTTCAGCAACAAAACCTAATAAGCCACCATAACTCTTTAAAATATTTTTACAGGTTAGATGATGATTTCAGTGCTTATACAAGATCTGCAGTTCTTGTCTCAGGTATGAACATGCATGGGAGAGCTGAACGCCTCATAGTCAATGTCCTGCCCCTTCTGGCCATGCCACAGTGTGCTGGAATATGGTGATAACCAACTGTGTCAGCCATCTCCCAGCCTGTTGGGCTATTGCTCTCTCACTTTCAAGTGTGCTCAGTAAAGGACATCAAATTTAAACAAATAAGATTTTGTACAGAGAGACTTAAAACAGTTTTGTGATTGAGAACTTTTGCACTACATAAATAGTGACCTGAAGATGGTGATATCTGAAATGTGTTATTTATCACACAGAGAAGATCTTGGCCTGCAAAACTGCTTTTTGCCAGCATAGTGGCTGGAAAAGGTCTGCTCTAGATTTAAAATTATTCCTGCAAGACTCTTTTATAACAGTGCAATACATTTGTCTGGAGTTGTTCATACAGGTAAAAGGATATTTCTGCTTCTACAATACATCATTTTTGATCCACTTTATGTCCATCACAATGCTTCTCTGCATAGCACACTTTTGCAAATATGTACGTATGGCATCTTACCATCTCTGAACCATAGCTCACTGATGGACTAAACTAGGGTAAGTTTTAGTGTTTCCCTTCTTGGACACCAAAACTGTGGGTCTCTGTAACAAAAAACTGGTCAAATTGCTAGCAGTCACACACGCAGAAGAGGGAACCCAACCAGTGCCTGTGATAGTTCTTATTTGAATGAAGTAATTAAAAAAGTCTAGCAGAATAATCAAGGCTTCACCTTCTCTTGTGAGAATTCTTCCCTAACAAAGCTCCAGCATGCTCCTGGCTCCAGGACAATCCCAGTGACACCCTGGAAATAACCTCAGGGTGGGTTTGAAGCCTGAAGTGGGGTGAGCTTGTGGAACAAGGCCCTTAGGAAAAGGGGTCTCATCAGGGATGACTGGACAAGTAGCTGATTCATGATTTTCACCATTTCTCCTCATTTCCCTGTCTCTGGCTAAGACTGCTACCTAGTTAGGGGAAGAGAAAGGGGAAGGGCTTGTATAAAATACTAAATCATTCATTGATTTATGCTAGGTTTATATTTACTTGATCTAAGCTATCACTAGGCATCCCTTGGGCCAGAAAGGAGGTTTATTTTTTGTCCACTGGAGACTGACCATGACTAGAGACCGGATGCAGAACTGGTGGCTGGACCTTCTGTTACTCGGTCAGTATATCGTGCTCACACGCGCAGTTAAAATAACTATCAATTAACTTAGAATTCTGAAGGAGAGATGCCTTGGAGAGTAGGCTGAGAGGGACCATCAGCCCTGGGGTTCTGTATCCTCCAAGCACAGGGTGCACTCTCCCCAGGAGAAAGACTTCTCCTTCTCCTGGCATGTATTTCAGATCATAAGTTTGTTGCCAGGGAACTGGAAAGGTGTCTGGTGATCTATTGACCATGACCTACAGACTAGGTGTTGGTGGACACTTTGAAACGTGCCATCTATTCAACTGCTGTCTGTGACTATGAGATGCTGTCAGCGACTGTGCAGACTCGGTAGGTGAATCTGCACTGCCAAGTAAAAAAAGCCAGGAGGATGATTCAGTGTTGAGCTTTAAGCAGGTGAAGATGTGAAGGCAAGTCAGTCTGCACCATTTGGTCTCAAAGACAGAAATGGTCCCAATCTCTTTTGTTTGGCACTATAGAAATAGCTAACAAGACAACACTCTGTGAGTCAAGCAATCTTTTCCAGTCTTGTATTACTTTCACTATGAAAGTCAAAAGGAAAAAAATGAGAAACCAAGACACAATTCAAACTTTACAGGCACAGATTGATTCATCAACTCAGAAGTGATCCATGTTTGGGAAAAGCCTCAAAACTGGAAGGCCAAAATCAGAACCCCAACACAGCTTTATGGGCAGTACCAAGTACAGGAAATAAATAAAGGAATGAACTTGGGAAATTATTTAACTTTTAAAGAAAATTGTATTCTTTGTTATTAGCATTACTTTAGCTCTGCCTGCCTCCTCCTATGTTCCACAGGCCATGTCCCACAACAAACACAGTTCCAGTAAATTCACAAACATCCTTTGTCTTTAGCAAATGGACAGCCATTTCCAGAAGCTGTGGTTCTAGTCTCATAAGGATAGCCAAACTATGTTACAATCTATTAAAGCACAGTATTATTAATTGACTAGAATAGCTTTGCTTTAAGTGACATGTGTCAAATGATGCTTATCTGACCATGTTGTTGTTCTTGCTGATCCTGACTGTGTTACTAGTGGTTGTGTTTCCAGGCTCTGTAAAAAGCTTTTGATTTTCCTGTTTAGAAATTAATGCCGTTGCCTAATCTGCATGAGTTGCAAGGGAAGCATGTTTATAAAAATTCTAAAAATCTAGATTGAGGAACAAGTTTTCTGAGCTGCAGCTTGATCTTTTTTTGGACACACGAATACAGGCGGGGGGTTGTGCAAACTACCAAGTTGTTATATCATCATGTCAGCATTCTGGTGACAAAGAGGAAGGTGCACAGTTATGCCGTCACATCAATGTGCAGAATTTATCCATTCAGTGCTTGCTTGAGAAAAGGCAGGTTTCTACAGAGATTCTAAAAAGAGCCAGACAAGACCATAGTCATTTATGGACTGGCTATTCGCTTGCAATTTTGCCAAGTCTTAACAATGAATTGACCACGCAAGTGTTGAAAACAAATGTCAGTGGAAAATACATGTCAGTGGAAAATAAAAAGAGGTATGTGCCAACACATCGTAATCCAGCTGGGAACCAAGGCTTTTATCCTAAATAGAAGTGGAGGCCTATG